TATATATATATATAATCATTATATATAATCATTAACACAGATTTGGGCTATTTTCATATATTCAGAGGAACAGAGCAAGTTATTAGCTAAAACACTTTACTGATTGAGGCAACAATTGCATGAACATGAAAGCATGCCAGAAAGCATATACAGAGAGCAGTGGGAAGAAAAAGATACTATTTTTTTAAAGAATCATTTTTACTACTCCAATGTAAATAAAAGCTCCTGAAAGCATTTCTTAAGACGTACATAGCCACTTTAATATCTAAAAGCTTACTTAAAAGGGTTGGGGGGGTGTTTTTCAAATTTATTCTTATTAATTGACTGCATTAAAACACTAAGAACTGTATTATTTGTCACTGTACAATCATTCAGTTTTCTGTTGCTGGGGTCTTTCCCACTGCAACTGGAAAATACATAAAAGGATGGAGGTAAATAAGTTATAAAATTGGCATGCATCAGGATAGCTGCAAAACTTAACTTCTCAACCATTCCAAATGTAATCTATTTCCACCTGTTTCTAAGACAGAACTTCCACAATGAAAAGCACTGTATTTAGTGCTGTCTCAAAACACTTTAAAAAACCTCCAGTGGAATATATAGATCAGAAGTGTCATTCCACAAAGCTTCCTGTGTCTTAAGACAATGCCACTCACTAGAACTCCAAAAACAATGGAGAAAAAATTGCCCAAACTAAAAAGTATCTTACAAAAGAACACACATTCTCAAAGAGGCACAGCTTGACTAAGAAATTCAATACTATGTAAAAAGCAATTCACATTTTATTTTCAATTGCAATAAAACTGTACAAAAATGTTTCATTCTTGCCAAAAAATAAGAGCAGTATTTTCAGTCTTACTTCTAGACAAACAACAAACTCTTTATTTTAATCTTTCCTGGGTGAGTTTGCAAATAAACAAGACAGTAAGATCACATGGTTTTGTGTCAGAGTCAGGATAGAAGGAACAGTTTTAAATGTTTGTGGAATAAATTTTAAGTTCGTAGTGTCTTTTAGGAATTGCAGTACTCCTGCCATGCCTGTTAAAAGCCTAAAGAAAAAAAAGAAATAAAGTTTTGTGTCTCACACAAAGGAATGTAAACAGTCATCCAGAGATTAAAGAGGCTGACTCATCCAACGAAACCATAAACATACCTCTACGCCACCAACACTTGACACCGAGAACAGTCCACAGCACGAGGATCGTGCCATAGCTGAATCCACTCTCCAAAATGCCAATTAAATAGACATCAAAGACTTTTCTGAAAGTTTTCCAAAAGAATAAAATCCTAAGTAACAGAACTGAAATGGATTATACTCTTTTTAGTATTTTGAGGGGTTTTTTTTTTCATATCCTAATTCATGAGCAAATATGTCACAGCCCCATCAGAGCTACAATCACAATGTTATTTTATTTCCAAGATGCAATTAAGTAAATGAGCACCTAGTTGGGTCAATCAGGTGTAGAAAAGCATGGGCTTATTTTCAGGCTTGGTTTTGTTCGCATAACACATTTCATACAGACTAATAAAACATAATTTGGATCACTGACCACAGTTTCTTCAGTCCAAGACATAAAATGCAGTGATTTTTTTATAAGATTTCACAGTTTTTTTTTTCCTCAACGTTGAAATTTAGCTAAGAAAAAGCTATTTCAACAGCTTGGTTAGAGCTTAAAAAATTAAGCATCTTCTGTTACTTCCGAGTTGTTTGAGGGAATAAAATCATCTTGAAATTGCACTTTATCTGGATAGAGTTTAATATAGGTGTCCACCATTAAATCTAAGTCATGTTTTATATCAAAGTTGATGTTGAGCAAAGCTAGGTTGCTGGACCTTTGCTCTGTCAAGGTGTTTTTCAGGTACGCCTTTAAGCGCTTTCGTCCTAGTTCATATTTTTCATTCTCCACCTTCATCACTGGAAGTATGCACAAGACTTTAAGCAAGGCATAAACATTAGGGAAAAACTTGATGTCAGGCAAGTGGAGTGCTTCATAAATAGTAGATGGAAGATCAATATCTTTTCCTCTGTGCTTCCACTTGATTCTCCAACAATGAAGCTCAGCAGAAAGTGTGTCTGGATTAGGCAAGTCATTTTTGTACATGTCAGCGAGATGCTCCTCGGACGTATTGAATTTGAGCTGTCCCATGACCGAGGGCACTAATGATAAACACTTGAGAGCTTTTAAATGTTGTTCAGAGAATATATCTTTTAATTCTTGAATAATATGCTCCACTGTGGGGACACTAAGGATTTCTTTGTAGTAATTTTCTGACGTTATCTCAGGGTCCAAGTTCCCTTGTTGCGCCCTGCGGAATTTTCCTGGGAGTTTAATTTGTACCTCCAGTTTTGTAGCCAAATTTGTTGCTTCCTCAAACCAAAATTCGTGGTAAACTTCAATATTCTCCATCACTTCGTTCAGAGAATGCAACACTGCTGTTAAGCTGCTAGCAGCAAAGAACACATCTGATGTTTGTCCTTGAAGATTTTTTCCGAAGGCTCTCGTAAAAGACAGAACGTTTTTCAGAATTACAATAGTGACAATGAAGTCAAAATCTGTTAATGCACTTGAAAGTACAAACGCTCGACCGGCAGTAGAATTGTTCCACCTGACGGATGAGTCGCTACTTACTGCATCCAAGCACAGTACCAATGCTTGCATGAGGTCCACTAAAACCTCGAAAGTATCGTGCCTGCCTGTCCACTGAGAACGGCAGATCTCCTTCAGTTTGTTACCCTTCTCTTTGTTGTTCTGAAAAAGAACAGAAATCGTGTTTTCCAGTTCTACTAGTAATTGTGGAGACTGATTAAAAAAACAATAAACTTCTTCGATTGTTCCTAATGCAACGGAAACACCAACAACAGGAACAGATTTTGCCAGCCAAAGATTTAAGGCACACGAGGAACACAGAGTATACACAGCTTGTGGATACTTTTCCAAGAGTCTTGTAGCCACAACTTTCATTTTAGAAGCAAACCCACTGGAGACGATGTAGGCTTGACCTCGACAGTACTCCATGTTTAGACCCCACTTTTCAGTAATAGTCGTGTGGAACTTAACGGCTAAAATTTCCGGATCAGCCTCATAAGGTAAAAAACCTATGAATTCTTCTCTCAGGTTATGAGAATCATCAACAAATCTCACCAACACCGGCAAATGTTCCTCTCCCGCTACGTCTACTACATCATCAGTGATGATAGAAAAGAAATGTGAGTCTCTTACTTCCCTCAGTGTCTCTTCTCTAACACAGTTTTCACAGATCTCAAGCATTTGTTTCTGCTGAGTTTTTGAACAATATTCAAGATTGACCGCAGTCATCTCAAATCGCTTTCTCAGAACTTCATCTCCGGCATTTATTCTATATTCCAGTAGAGCCTGAAAGTTATCTGAAGTAAAAATACCTTCTGGAAGCTCATCAATATTATGGCCATCCAAAGGAATATTTTGTTTACCCATTAGGATCAAAATTTCAAACAAAGATTTAAGGTAATCTTTGTTTTCTCTTTCTTCCAGTGTTAAGGGGACAGCTTCTTCCTCTTGTCCTTCCCCTCCTTCCTCTGAGACAGTGTTCTGCTCATTGCTCTCGTTCAATTCTTGAGTTGTCTGTTCCCGTTCAAAAGCTTCCTCAACTACAAAATGTAAAATATTGTAAGTGTCAAGGTAACATGAATAAAACGTAACATTTGCTTCCCCTTCCTGTCCCCATTACCTTTAAGTTACTGGAACATAGAGAAGAACGTTTTGAGTTTAAAAGTGAGTTAGTATTTCAGAAAGAGTTTAGACTTTTTGAATCAAATACCAACTCAAATTATCTTCCTGATATATGTAAACTTAAGAGTTATGTGTCCCACATTACCTTGTCTGCCTTAGTAAACAAAGGTTTTTATGAACTAAATTATTTTGCCCACTTACTCTTTTGTTGCTTCAGTGTTCTTATTTCATCTTCACTCTTTAAAAAAAGAAACAAAAATGAAAAAAACCTTATATTGATGATAATATCTAGCACATGACCTTAAAATATTACAACACATCAAGATCAGATACAAGTATTGTAGATGAGACCATTTTAAGAGTGTTAATATTCACCAAAAAGTGCTAGAAGGTCCAAGAGAAGAAGGTTTGTTGAGGTAGCTTCCTGCTGCCACAACACATACCTACTAACTACATGAGAATTCTTCGCTAGTGTCGCTAAGATTCCCATACTTATATTAGGGGTTTGTTCAATATGTATTTTATAATTATTAGTAAATAGATTCCATTAAAGAATTCTGTTTCAATAAGAACATGCACTGTCAGTAGACAGAACCATCTGTAACACTATTTTCAGTCAATTAACAGACTCAAACAAACTTACAAATAAATATTTAGAAATAAAATAAAATAAACAACCATTAAGAACTTACCAGCTCTTTTATCCTTTTCCTGTGTCTGCTGTGGGGATTGTTCAGGTGACTTGTAAGATCAAATATAGTTGGCACAGCATTATCCCGTAAAACCGTTCTGTAAGGGCTCTGTAAGAAGAAAGACATCTAGATGAGGGATATCTTTGGGAAATTCTCACCCTGTGTGCACAAAAAGCTCCCAGAGTTTCAGATACCATCCTCACTCTCCTTTTCTTTTTTTATTCCTTTTTTTTAAATAGTATTTTCACTTTCTAATGTTTCAAAACAAAGCAAAAGCTATGCCATGCAGTTCACATTATGGGGTATCAAGAGAACACTGAAAATAAGAAGAGAGATATTTAAAAAAACTCCACCACCCCAACCCAAACCACACACACTTTTTCTTCCCCATTATCTTCACATCAAAGACCCCAGGTGTAACAATTAATACAGTTTTTTTCTGGATAAAGACATCTGTGCATCAGAAAGGAAACCTTTTGTTACTATTGAGCTTTGTTTTTATCACTTCTTTCACAATTCTAGAAACAATCACATCACCATTTTCACAATGAAAACGTTCAATTGGTTCTTCATGTAGACTTAAGAATTCCACAAAACATTACCATGAAAGATCATACTGAGGAAAAATGTATCTGTCAAATGAGCAGGAGGAAGAAAAGACTTGTAGATGGTCATGTAAATGTTTCCAGCAGTTAAAGAAAAATATTTGAAGAATAATTTTAGATATGGATATACTGTAAACTTATATCATCTAACCTGGCTAATTTCAAGTACCAAATTTTAACTGATTATGTTTATACCCGTCATTAGACTGAAATTCATTTTAAACAACCTGAGTTTCATAAAGCTTCATTTCAAATTCAGAATTACTTTCATCATTCATTTGTTTGTTTGTTTCTGGGATGCTGGCTAATCAGACACTCTGTCATGTGTAATACCATCAGGTGCCCAATGTCTGACCTGCGTATTTTAATTATCCTACATAACTAAAGGACTGATTTTGCCCATGTATCAGAGTGGAATTCAGCCTATAAATTAAAACTTGATACAAAGCCCTAAAGTCTATAATTTCCTATTGTTATGTAAGCTGTTAAAATTAACATGGTTTTGTTAACAGGAAGAATTGAAAGCTATTATTTCATTAAAAGGAAAAAGTGCCGTGATTTTAGCTGGATAAAATATAACAGGAACCAAAAGCTTGACACATGCAAAGAATGTTTAAATCTCTTGGCCACAACAGTGTAATTTAACTGAAACACACCATGTACACGCTTCAGTAACAGTACATTAATGATTTTAAATAATTAGAGGTATGCAAACTTACATACTTGCACTCAATAAATTTCCATAATGTTGTAACATCCAGTGACAATAAACAAAATGAGTGTTGCTTTGCATGAGGAAAGAACTGCCACAAAGACCAGGGCTCCACAAACAT